ACTGCTTACCAGACTGTTCAGTAAATATTTTCATCTGCATGCCTACACAGAGTCGGCTATTTGACACGAGTAAATATGGAGTTTTCCCATAAACAAACTCGTCCGCCTGTACAAATTTTTAGCGGTCAAAGAGCGATGTTGTGGTAATTTTAGCTCTCCCTCTACTGCAAATTGAGTTCCCCTGAATTGAAAGTTGTTTGAAATTGCCACCTAGGAATTGTTACCAAAACCGCGGCTCCTTTTTTGGCCAACAGATTAAACCAGAAATTCCTCAAGAAACTGATAAGAAAATCTGCTGAGCGTCGCCTTTCTCTGTGAACTCTGAGCGTCAAGTGTTGTATCACTTGAAGTCTGGTCATCCTCTTATCGGAGCGAATGTTTCAAGATGGTACAGGCTAGCTCCTGGCTATCACAAAGATAACTGAACCCACCCTTTTGAATACTAAGAGTTTCATTGAAATCATAAAATCTTGAAATAGTTAAGGTCCCACGAAAAAATTCAGTAAAGAAAAAGATTGGGCTGGTGTCAATCTCGGTCACAAGATTGCTTCTCCCCTCTTTCCAGTTCGCGTGATGTTCTTATGACTACAAAAAATTTGGGAAAAAAAGCAAGAGGATAAGAATCCCCTTCTTAGTGAAAGAGGTGGAGGGGGGGGGGGGGGGGGTTCGAATGAGTCACGAATTTGACGGACGATGTAAGTTTCAAAGTTATGCAAGTATCTTTCTTTGAATTTTGTATTAGGGTGTCTCATAATTTTTTGCCGCTTTTACTACAATTGCCATATTTTTGTATTTTTCCTTCAACTGATCTAGCTTGGGCAATCATTCGACAAGAAAAAGCAAACTCTACAAGGTGGTTGTCCAAAGTCTGCCCGAGTCGTATTCCATGGAAATTTTGCGCTAGTATCTACTAACAGTCAAAACGAACTTCACTGTCAAAAATCTTATGTCCGTCCCAAAAAATCCAAAACTTCCCCGTTTATCTAGCATATGCTTGATAGATCGCACCAAATGTACAATTTCAAAAGTTTTTTTCATGGCTAGAAATAGAAAAATGAGAAGTAAAAGGCAAGCTTTGCCCCTAGATGTCCTGAGCTTCTTCCACGCACGGGTCGTGCAGCCCATACCAGAAGTATAATCGAAGTATAATCGTTCGTGTATTTGTACCCCTCTTAGGTGCCTCATTTTTTGAGAAATGTTGATGTTTAAGGTATCATGAGACACACTAATAATCATAAATAAAAAATTTTTTTGCAGAAGTACGGTCAATCACGTACATTCTTTCTTCGACTTAGTAAGTTACAACTCCATTCTGTGAAATCATGTGAAATATCCAGGAAGTTGCGCCAGTTGTACATTTTATGAACATTTAACATTTGATACAAATGGCTTGGCAGCTGGAAGGCGGGGCTTTGTAACCTAATCAAGGCCGCTCGTGCTCGCAACGCAGCCTGCGTCTCTCCTCGCGCGTGCTCTCTGACCACTACCTAGCCTTAATTGGGTCACGAAGGTCCGCCTTCCAGCCGCCGCCTTCCAGCTAGTTAAATTAATGAAAATATTCTTATTTTTTTCGGCTTTCGACGCATTTCAAATAGCATGACTAAAGCCACTCCCAAAAATTGGAAGCGTCACTAATGACATAACTCTTATCTTGACTTAATTTTTATGTGAAATTAATTTGGCTCTAAGCCTTCTAATCTAAAACAAGATAAATACTTTTTATGATAAATTATGGAATAGATTGACGCCAGCTTCAGACGTGAGAGAGCTCCAGTAGTTCATAAGTCAAAATAATGACTTTTCAAAAGAGTATCACATCTACAGTAAGTAAAACTATCGTTACATGACCCTTTACAATTTTGCAAACAATGTGTAACGTAATTTTCACCCAGTGCAATTCGCTCCCGTTGACAAACTCTAAAAATTTTCATTTAGATAAATCAACACGGCTGATCTATTTACGTGTGTTTGTGTCACATCATACGAACTGACACACAATATTTTCCGTTTACACTTACGCGATTCACACAAAACGTCTGTCGGCGTTGTTTGTGTGTACATTAGTTGTTTTCTCATACTACCAAAGCGTCTCGACAAATTTGAGATTCACTCATTGCCGCGCCGAAAATAGCGCATTGGACCGCGCGCCGTGTTTGGCGTCCAGGGGTGAGCGACGCGGCTTCGAGTGATCGTCGTCGCAATCACGTACAACGATCAACATTGCAAAAACGAGGAAGTGACGAGGTGTACGCACTCTCTTGAAGCGCCCCGGGTAGGCGGTGAAAAGGCGGAGGGGGGGGGGGGGAGGTGGCCTACCCTGGCGGACATCATCGTCGGTTGCGGAGACCGTATTACCAGTAGTGGACCGAACGTAATGGGCATAGGAAGTTATGTCTCCTATAAGGGGTGTCCGGACAACTGGTACGAGATATAACTGTGTTGAGATGGATGGTTTGTGGCAAATCCTCGCGCGGCGAAACGCTTAACCTTTGATTTAACTGGCTTGACGGGTGGAAGGTGGGGCTTTGTGGCCTAATTAAGGCCGCTCGCACCCGCGACGCAGTCTGGGTCTCTCTTGCGCGCGTGCTCTCTGTCTATTCTCGAACCTTAATTAGGTCAAGAAGTATCGCCTTCCAGCCGCCAAGCCAGTTGAATCAAAGGGTAGGTCACCTAACAATTTGTACTCGAATCTATGTAAGGACTTGAAGTATTGCTTATTGTACCAGCTGTACAATAAGCAATACATTGTACAGCTGTACATTCTAGACGAAAATAATCCTCACTAAACCATATGAAAAGCCCATAGGAAGATTTCCAATCCCAAAAAATTTGCTATTCAAGCAACTTTGCACGAATTCAAAGTGCTTCCATCACGTGTTGTGAAAAAATGTTCCATCTCAGCTGATAACGACAAGAAACATGCCTTCAGCGAATCGTCTTATCGTCGGTACCAGGTTCTACGCCTGTGTACTTCAGATAATATGCACTTTTATCTCAAAAATGCAATGCTCAGCAATTTTTGAGACGGAGGTAGGGGAGGGGAGGGGGAAGGGGAGATCATTTGGAAAAAATTCATGAACATTTCAGCTCGTTTTCTCTTATGAAGTGTTGCTTTATTCTGGCTACTATACACAGGGGCCTTATATGTTCCCCATGGGCACTTAAAAGTTTCAAAGTTTTCCTAAATGATTTGAGATCCTTCGGCTCTTACTGCCGATTCTCTTGACTGAATGTTTACATTAATTTTCTAATAAAACCTGCAAGCAGTTTATAAGAGATTATATCTTCTTCTTGGGACCAACAAAGTGCACCACTTTAATTTCTAAACAATAACTTTAGGTTAGAGATTTCTGCAAGTTCTGCAATCGCAATCTCTTATTCAAATTTCAAAGCTCCAAACCCTCAATCTCAAATACTTCAAAATAATCGTGATTTACAAAAAATGTGTTTTTTTTCGGAACTACACCACTTTCCCATACCAATATGACTCTGCGATTCCAGGATACTGTAACTATGGGTAAACTTCTTAAGAGGTTTCTGCCGGGTACCGAACAGCACACGCATCACTGAGACAACAGAAAGAACTGGCTGTTTGTTGGGTGGAAGTGGTCTTTATACCGTAGGTTTTAGACTTTTCTGAGTTCATGCGTTTTTGGTGCCGCATAGTCTGAGGAGTAAAAGTTAGCCTATAGCTTGTGCGCGAATATCTATCACAAATCGTGTAGCTTGATACATTACAGCCTGTACTAGATGACTGCAAAAGTTGACAATACGTCTTCTATCCGCTTCTGGGAGTCATCTAGAAAGGAAGTAAGTGCGCGATTGTAGGAGAGAGGGGCTTAGACGGAAAGGAGCACTGGAACTTCCGCAGGACAGGCAAGATTTTACAGAGGGCTCATTATCAGGGAAGGTTTCAAAAATGGCAATTTCCGCAAGAATTTTACGCCAGACTGATTGAAAACGGGAGCTTCTGCAGAATTTTACTCCAGACTAATTGAAGGCGGGGACTTCCGCAGCACTTCCCACAAAGGGCTGCGAGAGATATGTTCTTAGAATGTACAGCGGAACTTCCGGTAAACTGTCGAGGAGGGATGGCATAATGGCCCATATCGCTGCGCCGCTTATGACGTAGTCCTGAACGAAGTTTCACCGTGAAGTAGGTGAAGAGGATCGTGGGGTGAGAGCGCGCGACATATACGGTACCATCTATAGGGGGTCTGAACTATGTCACACACACAAAACACTCACTGTCTCTGGTACGCTCTCGAGTTGCAAGCGAGCGCGAGCGCGCGAGTCCTGCGAACGCGAGAGCAAACAGTGCGAAAAGTTCGCGATCAAGCGGAAGTGCGATTGTACGGACGTTGAGGAGATATTTACCTTTGCGTTTTTTTTCGCTCGCAGCAACCAAGTCTCTCCGAAAAATGACCGCCGCGCTTCGCGCCACGAGCTCGGCAAACAGGTGGCTGGAGCCAACAGGCACTGACCCCGGCCACCTCACCAGGCTGGAGCTCATTCTCATCCGTAGACGCCATCCGACGATGGCGTCCACATCTGCTGCTGGTCCACCACACATAAATAGATTTCCGGGCACAGGGGGGGGGGGGGTCTGAGCCAATCCGAGCCACTAAGGGCTGAAATTTCGTTTTACTACCCCGGCTGTGGAAATAAGCGTACTTTATATTGGCAATTCTATGGCACCCTCAGGTGTGTGATATCTGGATCAACACCATCACACCTCTCACTGTCCATTCCGGTGTACTTCTCCCCTCTATCCAAACACACAGTGAATTTACTCTCTCTGCGTCATTTGCACTTTTTTTGCGATTTTTCCATCACCATTGCATTGTGCTGTTGAGCTTCATATTGAAATTCATTCATAAATGGGCCGAACAGTTTCAGCCACTCGTCCATAGTCTCTATGCTGTTTCACACAGTATTCGCAGCGTTTCCTCGTGTGATTCGAAATTTTCCAAAAATTCAATATTAACTTTTCAGTTAAGATGAGCACAATTTGCCCATCACCGTCTACACCAGCATTCGATTTGGCATCATTTCTTTCTGGTGCCTTACAATTAAAAAGAGAATCACAATTTATGAATGGTTTTGGCACTTTTCCAACCACTCCCGACATTTTGCTAGGAGTAAGTATAAAGAAATGAGAAAAAAAACGAATTTTCTGCGTTATTTTGGACCAAAATGTTTCTGTTTTAGCATAATCCGATCTCTCCTGTTTCACCCGGAAGCGAAGGACGAAAAAGACGAAGGGGAGAGGTAAGGATTTTGCTCTTATCAAGGAAATTCTTCCCTTACCTATCTTTCCCAACTAATTGTAGGACTTTGTGATTTCAACTTGCCCAGTTGGAGGAAAATAAAGGGTGTGAGCTCTTTGTACCCCCCCCCCGCTTAACCTTTACTTACCTTTACCCTAGTCTTCGCACATATGTAATTTATTTCAACTTCATGAAATCCACTTCAACTTTTTGGAAAAATAAGGGGAAGTAAGTAAAGGAAATAATTGGAAAAGTAATAATAATCGAAGAAATTCTTCGATCCTTGCTATAGGCTTTCATTGAAACGCTACAGTAATGGGAAGTAGAATAATTTTCTTGAATCGGTTTTTCATTACTTTCTCCATTCAAAAATGAAATAAATCAATCTTTTTCGCGCTATGGAAAAATTCAGAATACTGAGCTATTTTGAGCTCTCTGCACTTTGACCCTATTTTAGCTTGACCTCGGTCATGTGAATGTCTGATAGAGATCCCTTACTGTCCAGGTAGAGAATAACTATATTAAGATCATGCGGCTTTTAGCGCTGAGACTCATGATCACGAGATCTCCTATGTTTCAAAGAGACCGTCTGACTGTCACGAGCTTCAAAAGATTCAGATTCGCTTAAATTTTCAAATTTTGGCGGATCTGAACAGGTTTCGTTCGGCACTTTAGTACTCTAAAACGTATTGCCAGGGACTACCACCCCTGCTATTTTCTTTTTGAATCTCCTCCCCCTTCTTTCAAGTAACAAAATCTATCTTACAAAATTGCGAAACTCTGTGAGTACCAGTACTTTTGATTTTGAATAAATTTGCTAGAAAATGTAGAACTTCAAAGCAGTATCGTCAAGATCCATTTCACCCCAACTTCTTCCTCAACCCCGTCCACTACGCCCTCTTGTACTCTTCTCTCCCCCCCCCCCCCCCACAAATCTGTAACACTTTGCATATATGAAGGTTGACTATGAAGGTTTCTGCAATTGTTGTTTTAAGGATACTGAAAGACCGTTTCCAAAGGAAGAATTAGATTCATATCAGTATCCCTCTCCTCCCCCCCCCCTCCCCCTATCTTTTCGTACAAAAATTATGAAACTGTGTAAACAGTGCCATATGTTCCAGGCAGCGAATCCAGCAAACACTTTGGACGGTCTCGTGGCTCGTCGTGCCGATGACACTCATGAGCCATTTCAGAAACGATATCTGAGCGAACAAGAGGCTATCGAAGGACCAGATGATGAGGCCGAAGCAAAGGTGAGAATTTTTATTTTATTCCTTTTTTTGGGATGACAAGGGGCTGAAGGGGGAGAGTAAATGGAGGAAGTTGAAAATGTTGTTTGGAACAGTTTTACACTATCTGAACTTCCATAAACGCGTTATTCTTCTGTTGTAAATCACAATGACCTTTTCGCTGCGAAAATAAGCGAAATTAATTACTTGTAAATAGAGTTGTTAGCGTGGGTGGTGGAGCTGCAGGGATCGAAGTCATGCACTGAACAAAAAAAAATGAGTACTTCCGGCGATGGGTGAATAGCGAAATTTAAATGAGTCAAATTGGCCAACATCTGGTCAGGTGACACTATTTTGTAATTGCCATTCTTTGTCAAAGCTATGTTGATCCCCCTACCCTTGCTAATAGGCAAAATTCGTATTCAATTTTTCTCTATTGTACTTGTGATGGCGTCGAACACACTAATAATGATTATTAGTTTTAATAGTTCCAGAGTTAGCTTGTCCATAGAATGAAAATGCCTCCACTGGATACGCTGGCCTAATTCTAATGAAAATTCACTAGAATACACAGATAGTTTTTTCCATCTTCAGCGCATGGAAAAAGATCCCGATGTATCGACACGTACGTGCTCAACATGCGGCTATGTAGGGAAATGGATATCCGAAATGATACGACACAAGCGTGTACACACAAATGAACGTCCATTCAAATGTCGTTACTGTTCGAGAACAAGCAAATGGAAAGCGGATTTGATTCGTCATGTGGCTAGTGAGTTAATTTCGTTGACAAGCGCGCGCTAGCGCTATATTTCAAAAATAAAAAAATTCGAGTGAAAAACGAGAATTACTAAACGCTGGGGTACGCATGATTTCGCTCATTCGCCCTGGTGCTCATCCCTTTTTCTTCACTCGAAAGTGACTGTACAGGCCTTGTAAAAGCTCACGCGTAGCTTTGAACACCAACGCGCGAAGCGCATGGAAACGCTGGGTCCCGAAGCGGCATAGGCATGTTACAAGCGACAGTGAGAGCGCACCCTTCTCATAAATATCTAATCTAATCTAATATATAAAGAATCGTGACGCCAATTCAAAAACCATCAAATAGCGAAAAACCACGGTGCGGTCCCGAGGCGCGCGGATGCAATCTAGCACCTTTAGTCATTGGTACTAGCTTTTCTAAACTTTTGAAGGAACTTTTCGTCAATCAAAACAAACCTCGCAGTGTTTGAAAACAACACGAAAGTTGGTGGAAGACTTCTTGGAAGATATTGAATGCCTGCGGTCCCTCGCGATGACCGCTAGCTGACGCTGGTTTTCAAAGCACGGCGCGGGCAATTAGATTTTACAAGGTCTATATACTTCTATTCTGTTATGCATTGCGCTTAGACTTGTACTAGACTGATTCAAGACTTACTTTCCTTTACTACTCTAAGGTGTTGAGTATGTCGTATATTCGTCTCAAATTGTCTTTGATCTGGCGCACTGTATGTGAATAGTGCATCAATAAATGAAGAATTTGAAATATATAAATTTCAACGACTTCGGAAATGTTATGTTTCCAGAAACGCATGGGATTCGTGTCGTGTCAAAGTACAGCCGCTCAAAAGCATTCGATCAAACAGTGACAAATCTCACGAATCGTGATGATGACGATAAGCCGAGAGTGTACGCATGTGAACCCGATAAAGTGCCGGAACGACAAAAGCAGGTACGTGAGAGCTCACACATTGCTGAGAGTAATATGGTAGTCCCTCTGGAAAGGATGTTTTGCTAGCATTGGCACAGTGCCAAAACCCTTTTGTAGCACTATTTTAGTATCAAAACATTCTAGTACATTCGAATGGTTGCAAAATTTTGTTTACACTCCGAAATTTCAGTTGCACTCGCTACAAGTTGAAGCGAATCCAGAATTGGCACGACCAGAGCCGCTTCTACCCGACAAAGCTCCATTGTCATATAGATGTTCAAGCTGCTTTTTTGAACAAGTTGGTGCTAACTTCTTTATAACTAAAAAAAAGTGGGCGTAGAATATAAGAAAATGGCAGATCAAAGCCTTGTAAAAGAGAGAGAAGTGGGTGCTTCTGGTAAGGCGCGAATTATGAGAGTGGTTATCAGGGCCCAGCACAAGTCGGTTTCCAAGGCGAAGTCCCTTTGGAAATATTATTAATCTTGTATGGGTTTCACAGGAAAAGAAAAACAACAATAAAGTCCAAGCTCGATTATCGATGAATCTTGGCATGAGGTATTTATTTGTATACGTATTTTGTAGCCGGTAACCAATCGTTTACACGCTTTATTCAGACAGGCTAACGTTTCAATGACTTCACTTTCGTCGGAAGTGAAGGCTGTAAAGACTTTATGGATTTTTCAGCCTAACGTTTCAATGACTTCACTTTCGTCGGAAGTGAAGGCTGTAAAGACTTTATGGATTTTTCAGCAAGTATAGCAGGATCTCGCTCACATACTGAGATCTAAGAGAACGAATTGAATCCAATATAGAAGTAGCGGTTTGAGATATCTTGAATCAACCTAAAAGCAGCGTCCCGGCAAAGTGAGGAAGGCCGGGCTTTTGCAGTGATGTTATAGTAGACAATCCCGCTCGAAAAATTCATAGATTTTGAGAGATTTTTGAAAACTCGTATTATTTCATTTGCGTTAGGAAACCGCACATTAGGATTATAGACGGACGGCACATTACAATTTATTAATTGCGAGAAAGAGAATAAATGATAATATAATCTTGAAAAAGAATAACGTAATGGCAACACAATGGTGTACATAAAAAGTTTGGAAAATACTTGAGAAAAGAAACCTAGCCTTGTTCTTGGAAATTCCGATGACATTCTGAAAGGAGAAAGAAGCTCGATTTCACAAACTCTAGCTCCTTCTCCCCAGATTAATAATACTGCATTGGCTTTGAACTCTCATCAGAAAATAATTTTTAGGCTGGCCTGTCGGTCCTGGTACATCATCTAAGAACTATGCACGACAAATCCCCTTATGAATGCCGTTGCCAAGCCGTTTTCGAATCCATCGGCGATGCTCTAAACCATGCTACCCTTTCGGAAAATTGCACTTCGGACGATTTGATCCTCAACGTTGTGCCAATTTACAATAACAGAAATGGTGAATTACTTGCTTACCTTGTTGTTGGAGCAAAGAAAAAAGTTAGATTTTTTCAGCAAGCATGTCATCGAGCGAATCAATGAGTCCAACAAGGTACCGTAGTGACAGCTCACCTGACAGCGGAGTTCAAGGCGATTTGGAAGACGTTGAAGCTGGCAGAACGTCTGCAACTATCTCAAAGTGTACGGGAGATTCAGAGAGCGAAAATACCAACAGTGAGTTTCGATGCAACGGCAGACCCTCTACCGCCTTTCTATCTCTAGACGTAGTCCCAATAGCTCAAGAGATTGAATTTGCAGATTTGCTGTCCTCGTCATCTCTTTATGCTACATCGGCAGCCTCTTTTCTACCATCTATGGACATCTCAACTGCCCTTCTCGCACTGCAGCTACCATTTATGTCCGATTACCTAGCGACTATGGTTAGTTTATTACCACCATCATTTTATCTGTAAATGGGAAAGATTGAGGAACAGAATAAATAAGGGGAAAAGTATATGCAATCTAAAGATTGGCATTTGAAGAGTGCAGATGTAGTGGCGATCTGAGCACGAACATGTATACCAACAATAAGATTCATGTTTTCTCACTCTTATTTTGGGGGCTTGTAGGCTGCTGCGTGATGAAGGCACAATATCATCTTTGGGCGCGAACGCGGTTTTATTAGCCGCAGAGCGCATGAGGCGCAGGATATACAACGGTGAGGACACGCGCGCGTTTCGTTGCGCCCGCTCAACTAATACTGCTTCCGCCTTCGACATGCAGTAGCCTTGAATAGACCGGAGGAGTCCAAGACATATTACAAGATAGCAAAATTTTTTACAAGTGGTAAAATTGCGATACCGATAACCCATACAGTTACAGACGTCGTTGATGACTACTCCACCAATCACGCCGGTTGCAAAACCTTTGGCATACAAATGCGCTCAATGTGGTATGCGATTGGCGGATGTGCTTGCTTTCGTTGCTCATTCTCGCGTACATGCATCATCAGTGCTGCCACTGGTAGACAGTAATATCGTTGGTGGATTTGCGGTACAACATGATCAAAAAGACGAAGTGGTCGATGTAGAAATGTAAAAATACTATTGAAAAATGTGATCTCTTTATGCATAATTCTACAAGTTAATTTCACCAAAATTCCTCTACTTAGGTGATGACCCCCATTGTAAAGGTACATATTCGATTCTGGGCTTCAAAATTCATAAGTATTCAGCCATTCATACAAATAACATTTCAATCATGTTGGCACTTACATTCATTGCATTACAAATTGTTTGCAAATTGTTTATCATTTTACACTTCATGATACCCCCTACGCTTTCCACAGCCTCTGAGCTTTGTATTACTTTTAACCGCGGTGAACTTTCTGTTATTGTTGCTGTGCAAACAATTTATCCTATCTTCCATGGATACCGTACTTTGTATTTTGAAATAATTCTTGTTTGCTCCCTATTTATCATCGCTACCTGTTAATATCTACTCGCCTCATGTATCTATCAATCTGTGATGGGTTTTTGGATCGGTTGTGTTGTTCCAGTGGCTTTGTATGTACGAGTACACAAATAAAACTCTACTTCTATTTACAGTTTTTTGGTGTACAGTAGTTGCCTAAGGGGGAACTCTATCCATAAAACATTCAAAATCCGCTCGAAATGCCATCTATACACCTTTTGTGCTCCTACACGCTCATCTAGTTTTGCTCACGTAATCCTTTGAAAGCTTTGAGTTAGTCCTAGAGCACTTTCGCTTCGGTTCAGCTATAGTGTGTGCACGTTCCTGAAACCATACTGAGCAGGAAATGAAATTTCCATGAATAGAAAATGCGTGCAAAAATTGTGATCGTAGAAAATTTTTTTGATGACTTCGCACTCTAGTACAAACCTATTTCCAATACCACTTCGAGTGGCACGTAACACGCAGAAACTAGTATCACATCGTTCAGAAGTCTTATACGACCACCCTGCTGTGAGCTTTTATCAGGTAAGAATGAACAGCACTTGTACCAGTATTCCACTCAGAATGCCATTGAATCGCAAGCGATATATACCTGAAAGCTTTGTATTATTTATCATCTATATATATAAAACTCAAAAATTGTCAGTTTGGAGGGTATGTGCGTTATAGAAACACGCCCCGCTCAACCGATTCAGCTGAAACTTTGCACACATATGTTTTCGACCCCTGCGCAGCTGATAGGCTACTTTCGCGGCGATTCACTGGGTCCTTCTATCGATTTATTGATTTGTTCACGTTTTTCTTAGGAGACGAAGGCTTATCATATTTAATCAAGCATTTTCCCATAGTCATGTAAAGGAGGGCAGTAAAGCTCATTTTTACCTCAGGGTCACGAAGATGCGGTTTTGAAGCGGATGTTTCAGGGTAAGTCAACATACAAGGGGGGGGGGAGGTTCGCAGTGTAGGTGAAAAATGGCCCGGGATGGACCGGAAAAGCCAAGTAGTAACTTATAATAACCGGCTAAGAATGTTTACGTCTTTTTGTCTGTGTTTGTGTGTGTCTGTCTGTCCGTTACAAGACTCGTAGAGCGTGCTTCAGCCAATGTCATGAGCCCAAATTCTGCACGGCGTATGCTACCAGCGTGAAAGTCCATATGCGAAAGCAGAGCGGACCCTTTAAGTGGACCCTCAAAAATTGCGCTTCGAACGAGTCCACTCCTTCTGCCCAGCAAAACTGTGCATGTAGCCACACTTTTTGCAAAGTTATGAGTACGTTTGACAAGCTAATGGCAAACCATGGACTTCAGCCCAAAAAAGTAAACAAAAGTTAATTACTTTACGAAGGTGGCGTCAAAAAGAATTGATTGCGTAAACTTCAATTTGCCAAAAGTTTACTTGATCATTTGTGAAAATTTTTGCACAGAGATGTGACCCACGGTAATCACTGTCCTCAAGGCGACTACCAAGCCATGAAAAGTCCAAAAACCGATCTAAACTTGCATTTGATTTTCTGGGAAAGGTTCCATCCACGGGAGATTACCGATCTCACATGAAAAAGTTTTAGAAATGAGTAGTTGTTTACGAATCATTCATGATAGTCTGCATAGCGCGGTGAGTTTCAATGTCATTATTGCGGGAATGAGTAAGCCATACAGATAGTGAGACCAGTGCGAGCCTCTGCGAAGCAGAAGCACTGGTAAACATATAAAACTCAAACTTTGTGTGATAGTTTAGTTGTTCGTTAGTTATAGCAAACGCTTGCAGTGAACTGATTTAGTAGCTGGAACTTTGCACATATATGTATTCGACCCGACGGATGTTTAGGGCCACTTTTTGCGGCATTTGTTGGGCCATTCTATTGATTTATTAATTTTTGGCAATGAGTTCTCAGCGTCCGCCAACCGGTCATTTTCATGATCTCATGTAAACAAAAGCAGTAGAGTTCATTCAATTTTCGCAGTAGGAAGGATGCGGTGATTCAAGAGGAGCGTACAGCGGGTGAGTTACTTCAATACAGAGACCCCTTGCAGCACAGCATAATCGCTTATGGTTGAGCCATACCGCGCGGCGTACGCTCCTATGATGAAATATACTGAGCGTACGCTGCGTACATCACGTACGCCCGTACAGTCTGCTCCAACCGGGATCAGGCCTGAACCGCAGCGCTGGAGGTCTGCGCTGCATATGCGCGCTGTCGGAGACAGAAAAAAGATTGCAGAGAGAGCAGAGAAGCAGGCCGTGGGCGTGATCGCAAAACCCTAGCGACGCGGACTCCCGCCATGCCATTTTTGGCCTGGTTAGGATTGGGGCAGACTGTACGCCGCGCACTATAGCTCAACCTCAACCCCAAGGGGGAAGGAAGGGGGGGGGGGAGGCTGGAGATTAGCTGAAGACGTGACTCGTGCTAGACCGGTAAAACCAGCTAGTGCTAGTATATGCGGAAGTCAATAAGGCCCAATACATGTACAGCCTGCCGTGAGGGCAGGTAGCTATAAAGAGCAGAGTTACACTTCTCAGGGTCAAACGTCTGAACTTTTCCTTGTTATTTATGACACAACGTCCTTCTCTACAAACATAATAAACAGCAGTCCACGGTGAGCTGCAAACGCGCAGCCGCAAGCGCGCTTCGCTTAAGTATTGTATCAGAGCAGAACTGCTCTTGCTGGTCAGAATTTAAAAGTATGGATGGCTAAAGAGGTGGTTCTTTTCCCGAAATGCGGCGTTATAAACCGTCCGCACAAAGCGCAAAGTTGTCTATTGCTCGTTACTCTTCCTTTATCATGCCCTTTCGACGGTTTTTCGTCTGCCCTGTCCCCCACTCATGAGCTATTTTCAATGGGCGCAACCATACCCTCGATACATAGAGTCACGTACTCTGGTAACCTTTACTTTGAAAGCTATGAGGGGATACAACCTTCACCTGGAAAAAAATAGAAACCTTTCGGGGCGAAGCCCCGGATGTTATTATTCTGGCTTTATCGATATGAATGTTGATAAAGCAATATAGGGAATAGTATCTTCAGGTTATCTCAGCGAAATCGAGAATTTGCGTTTTCATAGCCTTTTTTACGTTAAAAAGAAGGTTTCTATGCGATTTTCGCCAGAATTCAGGACAACAATCAGTTAACCTCTTAGTTGACCAAAATCAGTTTCAGAAGTTTAGGAAAGCTATTGGAGTTAAATAAAAACGAGAAACTGCGCTTAAGTCTTGCGCAGAGAGTCGCGCACGAAACGCTGGTCTATCTCGCTGGTCTGTCTATTAATGAGTGATTTTCAAAGCTTGAGACTTGTCAGTTCTCCTCGCGTCATGACGATCAGAATGGTGTATAATGTTGCAGGGTTTCGTTGAGACCCCGCGGAGATTCACGACCAGAGCCAAATGCCTCGTCGGCTCTGGTCTGTCTCCGCTGCTTCTGCGTCTCCGCGCGCTGCGCGCTACCTCGCTACCCCAAACGCGGGGCGCGGGGCATTTGGCTCTGGTAAGCTTTCCTTCGCTGTTTCGAACTCAATTTTAGCAAGCTATATATCATTTTGAAGCTCTTGACCTCTATTTTCACGCTAACAACGTCCCAGAACCACATTTTTTGATTTGATCGAGAGATCCGACAAAAACCTTGTTTTCGAAAATCTCTTGTTCTTCTCCTAGTTTAACTATTTTCACGCTGACAACGTCTCAGAACCACAATTTTTGATTTGATCGAGAAATCCGATAAAAACCTTGTTTTCGAAAATCTCTTGTTTTTCTCCTAGTTTTACTCTATTTACGCAATTCTTTCGTGCATTTTATAGATCTTGCTTTTGTTCATAACGCAGGCAACCACCCAGCCCTTACCTCTTCGATTAAGGTGGAATTTTTTGCGAAAAATCGTAAAAAGTGCGTTTTTCTTTACCTTGTTCTGTTTCAAGGCTTTCGCATCGATTTTTTTCCAGCTTGGGCGATTATTGGTCAGAACTATAAGCGCAGCAACTTAGAAACGTTCCAGGAAACAGGAACGTCAATGCAAGGGTGGAAATTTAGAAGACGCATAAAAAATTAAATTTGGCTTCAACGTTTTTTTCGACTTACTATAAAAGAAACTTCGCGTTTCCATAACTAACTTCTTTCTTGTTTACCTTCCTCCTGATAACCAACCATGAAACATGTTTTTTGAAACAATCACAAAAAAGAAATTAACTCTTCTTCGCTTTCTCCCATGCTGCGAATAGCCGGTTCTGGAGCGAAAACTTGCACTTTGAAAAGCCGCCAAGTGAAAGATTACAACCCAAATTGCAGTGTTTTTCCGGTTTTCAGCAGTTTCTTTTGCTTATTATATTTGTTTTACGTCGTTTTCTCTTCTCTGGTCATCTTTGAACGACCTTCACTTTTGATGCCCTGTCTCTAGACTATTGAAGATATGGACGCAACAGCGTGCCAAGGGAAGGATATTTGGTAAAGTGTTCCTTTCATAAATGCGCACAGTCTAACATGGAACACTGTTTCCAAACCTGTATTCGTCATACGCCCTATGAAAGAGCAATTATGAAAAAACTTTGGGGCAGTATAAGGCGATTTCGGAGCCGCTCGTAAATAGCAGATACAGATTTCGCCTGCTTCAAAACGGACTGTATTTGTTCTTCATTCTAAGATGTTGATGGTGCTGATTTGATAAAATCCTCACTTACACTTCTCGCGCCTTCCGCAAACTATATGATATTTTGTGCATCCATGTGCATGCAAAACGTCGTGTCAAAATCCA